TTGAATGTTAAATTGTTGTAAAAACACATTGAAATATTTGTGAAGAAAATGGCTATTTAATATTGAAAAATAATAATAACAAAATGTTTATTTCATTTAGTTGCCATTAAGATATGACGGCTATTTAACAAGTTTTTCTTGGATCTTAACCGCCTAACGTTCAAAATTAACCTTTGTGCTTTGATATTACGTTCACATGTTGCCTCCGAAGGAGATGAACATAAACAAGCGTAATGCTATTTCCGCAAGGATGGATTTTTCTCCAATTCTATGCGAGATCTCTTCCCAAGCATAATTTTGTGCCTCGTCCATCATCAGATCGTTCTCAAAGATGTCTGATTCCTTATTGATGAACGTATTATATAACGAGAGTACAAGCGTTTTTTGTCTTTCGTTCAATCGGAATTGAACCAAAATGCGCTTGAGGTAATCTTTAGCTGCTGTTAGATCATTTTCGGCAGTCTGATGATTATCCTCGCGTACATCTTGCAATGTAAGCCTAAGTTGATCATCAGATTCGACAATTCTACGAAATGTGCCTTCATCTGTTACATCAATTACAGCGTTTGTGTTACCTTCCTCAAAAATAGAATCCATGTAAATGTCCTGTAAATCTTCTGCCGGATCTTTATCAGGAATATGCTCACTTTGAAAGGAACTCAAGGGATCGGCCAAATCTTCTACTTCTTCGTTTTTAACAAACTTTCTATGGAAGTAGAACCTTCCTCTCGGCGTGAGAGAGAATGCCAAACACCATAGCCCACCAAAGTCAGAGTCCAAGGTATAGCTATCCAATGAAGATGCCAAGATGGATCCGAATGCATTATGCAAATTGGATGTCAAAAGATTGAGAGCTGATATGGCTTTACGAAGCCAAATGTAACAATTTGCCAACAATGCCTTATCCGATTCGAATACTAAGATTAGCTTTTTAAGAACAGCTAAACAATCTTTCAATTGTACGATTTTATCGTGATCTACATTTATATATTGCTTGATTTTGTTTTCGTACTTAAGAATAAAGACACATATATTATAGTCATATATCCATCTGGTGGATACATGCTGTGGACATTGTGCACCTATATCGTCAGCATGAATGCGACAAAGTTCTGCAATTCTGTGCACATCCTTTACTAAACTTTGTAACTGGTTGTTCTTGCCAGCAATATATTGATAGCTGTTGTGGATTCTGTGACACAAACAGGGAATAAGCAATATCTTGTAGTATTTTGGATCTCTGTCATGATAGAATGAATCATTCCAAGTATCTTTGAAGCATTCTAACTGTGCTGGTCCTCCGTCAACTACCACACTACCTATCTTGACTTTCCTAATGTCAATTCTGTTAAATCCTGCTGTTATTGCGGATTTATAATCCTGACTTGTCTGGCCATCCTTCATATCTATCGCCTCAGTTAGTATCTAGTAATTCGGTACCAAGGGTCTACGCCCCTCGGACCCCAAATTACTAGAATTTACAAAAACCGTTTGACATGTAAAATTTTTGACATTTACAAAATAAAAAAATAATTTTTAAAAAATAAACTTTAAAAAATAAACGTTAAAATTTTTGACATTTACAAAATAAAAAAAATAATTTTTTAAAAATAAACTTAAAAATAAACGTTAAAATTTTTTATTTATTTTTTTTATCATAGATTTTAACACCCAGAGTAAAAAAATAAACTTAAAAATAAATTAACTCAAAAATTTTTTAATTTCTGTATATACTAAATTTTTCATAAATGATAAAATTAATTTTAGGGTAGATCTAACCCGATATCTAACCTCATTTCTAACCTTGTGAATTTTCAGCAGTAAATATGCTGGCATGATTCAGGGATGTCATCGCTGCTGTCTTCAAACTCTTTTATAGATTCATACCATAAACGAGCTTCACGGGAGATGAGGAGTAATGAAACGATAATTAATAATTTATTAGTAAAATTCATTTTATATAAAAATAAAATTTTATATCTAATCTGATTTTTCGAATTCTTCTAACTTCTTCTTCAGTTCTGCTATATTATCTTCATATAATTTAATCTTTCTCAAAATACCATTTTTATCTAATGGCTGCTTAATTTTTCTAAATTGAACTCTACCATCTTTCATTTGATGAACATAAAAACCTTCTGGAATAGTTCCTGATTTAATGTATTCAACTAAAAACTTTTGTTTTGTTGCTTCAGTAATTTTAGTACTCATTTTATTAAAAGTAAAAAATAAAAAATATTTTTAAAATTAACTTTATTTTTTATGAGGACTCTCTGAGTCCATCTGAGCCGCTTAGCGGCTTCGTCGTCTTTTCCTTAATTCCTGCGGATCAACTAGGTCGGTTGAAGGTCTATTACTTTCTTTATAGTGTTTATAAAGTTTATAAGCCGCCATATGATAAGGATAATTAAACCATAAATACGCTTTACCTAAAGTTTTCAATCGATTATATAAATCATTATTGTTAGGCGTTTCAGGTGGTGCAGGGTATTCGAGAACATCTCTAACCATTTAATTACTTTAAAACTCTTGGTTTCTTTTTAGTTTTTAACAGTTTCTTTGCTTTTGCGATTTTAGCTAAAATATATCTTCGACCGTAATGGAACCAATTCGAACCTCCTGTTTTAGGGTCAAAAGGTCTTCCATAACCGCCAGGGTCATATGGTGCGACTGCAGTTACTGGCGCTGTGCGTGTGCTGAATTAATCGGCGGTGCCTCAATTGGTGGATATTCTGGCTGTTTCTCCTTTTCTTTAAGTGAATTTAATTTAAACTCTTCACCATTCAACTGACCTTTAAAATCTTTTAGCTGCTTAGATATTTCATTATCTTCACCTAAAAGGTTTTGCGACTGGTCAGCGACCCAGTTACCTAATTTCTTTAACTTTTCAGATTTTAATTTTCTGGCAGCAGCTCCCACAAGCATTCCAGCATTATTTTTTAAAGCTTTTGATACAGCTCCACCAGTTAAACCGTCAATAGCTTTATAACCTCCATACAAAGCTGATAGTGTTGAAAATACCATTTAATGCTTATTAAAATCATTTCTCATAATGATTAACTCATAAAATTTTTCATCGGAGCTAAACGTTAATGAAACTCTGACTTTTTCACCACTGAACCTCTTTATTAGTTCATTAATTCTATCAATTATATTAGCACATTTACTTACATCATCAATGATAGTAATATCATCACAAATTATTTTTACATTTAACGACGTCATTTATTACAAATTAATTTCTTCTATTCTTTAAATAATTAACTGCGGGCTACTACGTGGAGTGGTTCGTGGCGCCTTTCCTGTGCTAATTGCTTGAATCGTGTAGATTTTTTCAGACCTGTTGGAATAAGATCAGCCGGCAGTTGAATTAATCGGTGTTCTATATAAATTTCTATATAAATATGGTCCCGCTACAGCACCAGCAGCTAATAAAAGACCTACAGGAATTACAATTCTATTATAGTTCCGCGGTTTAGGGTCTTCATCAAAACTAGCCCATGCGCTTTCAGTCGTTGAACTCATTTATATATAATTAAATTTTAATAAGCGATTAATATGAGTTCGATAATAATGCTATCTTTTCTGTCACAGGAAGGACAATATCTTTTAGGCTCGATGGTTCAACTAATTTTATATTAAATTTATTAACATAATTAGTTATTGAATAATGCTTCGGCGGAGAATATAAGCAGTTCGTTAAACATAAAATTGAATCTTCTGCGAACTCACTTATACTCGATTTAATTATTACTGGTTCTCTTGACCAAACGCTGTGAAAAGAAATTGAAGTTAATAAATTACCTTCTGCCCTCACGGCTATTGATTTTGGTAAATATTCTAAAAGGTCGATTAATGCTATTTCTTTTGCTCCAAAAAGAGCCATTTTCTTAAAACATTCTTCATCATTGATTCCTGTAATAGCTCTAAAATTATTATTCGTGTATATATTTTCAATCTCATCACCGACAGCACCATCTTTTAAATCAAATATGAAACCAGCTTTTGAATTTGAATTAACACGAAATTCTATTGAATTAGTTTCAAAACTATAAAACATATCAACTTCATTAGGTTGAGGATATCCGGCACCTTTTAACTGTTCAATAAGAACCGATTTAATCTTTTTATTAAATGCTGTCATATCATCTCCTGTGTCTAAATCTATATAAATCTGTAAATCATATTGATGATTATCTCTTATTATTCCAAAGTTATATAATTCAATGGTTCGTCCTGCAGGAATGGTTTTTATCTGTCTTATTTCAATTGCTTTTTCACCAGTGTTATAATCAACCCAGTGTTTAGGGTATTCATAAATGTATTCACCATTGATTATTTTAAACGGTTGTGAAAATATGTGCTCATAATAGATTTTAATACTTTTATCATTAAGACTGGGAACGGTATTAACAAAATTTCTGACTTGCATTTTTAATTATAATAAAATGAAACATTTATTTGAAGAAGTAGGTGAAAAAATGAATGAAAAATCTGATAAACTCAATAGTTCATTAATTCTTCCCTTCAGTAAGGATTATCAGTTCTGTTCAAACGGTGTGTATTTCTATTGCGGAAAAATGGGTTCGGGAAAGACTTTTAATTTAATTCGTCATATTTTAATTACTGAACGATTAGGTCAAGATTCATATTATGACCAAATCATTATATCAGCAACTTCAGATTCAATGGATTCAACAGCGAAGACATTTATGAGTAAAGTTCAGGCATGAGTAATTAAAGTTCCAGATAGCGAATTAATTTCTTTTCTTCAACAATATATAAGAAGAAAGAAGAAATATTATGCGATAGTTGAATTAATACAATGAACTCACAGTCCTGGTAGAAGATTTGAAGTCCCATATCTTCAGCAGTACAGAGTACTTCATTTATAATACGTTTTGACATAGATAGAATATTAACACCAAGTGGACAGAAGTTAAAGTGTCTGCAAATGCTTTTCGTTAGCTTGAAAATAGTTTTATCTGAACCATCCAAACCTTCGAACTTCACTATATGGTTGTAGTTTCTGATGGCATATCTTATAGCATCTTTGTCATTTACTATGGTTATTTTTGACTCAATAGGAGATAGAATAGTTTTGCCATAAATACTGTTCAGAATGAGCTTTATATTTTCTTGCAAAAGATTTCCTTCTTTCTTATACTTTAACCTTAACTCAAACAACTTCTTTACTTCATCTCTTATTCTAATATCTCTGTTTCCATCGTAATAGTATCCTTGCAACACTTCACATTTGACACCTTGATATTTTATGAGGTCTTGTAATGTTATATGGTCAACATACATTAAACAGCAAGTGTTTGAACTTCTGGGAACGTTAAGTTCTGGATTTAGTTCAGGGTCACAAACTATTAAAGGAAAGTGTCTATGTATTCCAATCTCTGTTATCTTAATGAGAACAAAGAAGCCAGACATAAACTTTTCACCAATGGGTTCCTTTTGGTCGTCATCGAATAAATGTCTCATGAGATACTCTGTGCTTAACATTTCTTTCTTCATAACCTTTGGAATACCTTCTAAAGTATAAAGTCTTGCTATAGCTGATGGATATAATGAAACAGCGTCGAAATCAGCAATGAGTTTTTCTTTACTCTTTTGTTTAATGTTATCTGACAACATACATCTTCCACCTTGAATGCATCTCGAAATAAACTCTCTTGGTTTATTTGAGAGGTCATATAAATTTCCATTCGGGAAGTACACTCTGTTCTCAAATAATTTGTTAGCAATTGAACAAATACTAACGTAGTCATAAACGTTTAAATCAAACTCTTTCAATAAGTCATTTCTGAACTTTACAAAACCTTCTCTTAAAATTCTTACATCTTGTTTGCAATAAAATGTGCTATACTTTTCTAAGTCGAAGTGGTTTTCATCTATTCTGCAACCTTTGATGGAATCTATGTTTTTCATGAATGTATCCGCATCCTGGATAAACTTACATGCTTCAGAAATGACACCAGTTCTGTTGTCATTCATGAGCAAAGTACTGCTGTAGTAGTTGTATGGAAATACTTCTTTCGGTCCTGTTTGTAAGTTAAACATAGCAGGAAATAGTTTAAGTTTCTTATTTATAACACTGTAAGAGTCTTTTATAATAATTGCCCGGCCTTTATATAAGCCAGTTATTTGCATTGTTCGTGAACCTTTAATGATGGGAGTTCCTTTCACTTCTGTCATGTGTCTTAAGATGAAGTTTATGTCATAACTGAGGTTATGGAAATATATTAAACTCTTGTCAGGAAGTCGCTCCAAAAATTCTGTTGCACAGTTCTGACCCCAAATGCTTTCACTCACTGAACCATCTTCACTGTCATAACATATGTTAAAAGCTTTATGAAAGCCATCAGTACTGCACTCAAAGTCAGCAAAGAAAACGTGCTCAGAAATGAACTTGCACTTATTTTTATTTACTTCTTTTGACTCTGCTTTCTCCTTCAGTTGTACACAATACTTTGGAGCATATGACAAGTCTTTAAATGGTGCAAGATTCTGTTTATATAAGTCAGTCGTATATGTGAAAAGTTCTCCATAAGAAATAGGTTCAAAATATTTGCACTCCCACAATGTTTTCATAACATCCCATAACGGTGTTGTTCTATCATAACGAACTACATATTTGTTCTCTCTCTTTGTATAAATCTTCATCTGTTTCTCAATGTTCATTCCACCACAAGCTTTGAGAATTTCTTTATAGTTTCGAATGAAGTATGTTGTCATTGGAAGTCTTTCATTTAGCATGTAATGGTCTTCAACAAGAAGTAAGTCAATAGTTCGAATAGTTTTACATTCTTTTGGTATATATCTCTTTATTTCATTATGTCTTGAGTTATTGAAATAACCAATGGTAACATTAAATGCTATACCTGTTGCGTCAGAAATTTCTTGTACTTTACTTTGAGGAAAGTCTCTAACACGAATGACTTCTCTCATGTGGTCAATAGTTTCTTCATTTACTCCAGCCTGAATGCAAGCATAAACGAAACAATTGTCCTCTGTCATAAGTGTTGCAGTTCTTTTGTTCAGTTCATTGAAGATTTGGTAGCGTTCAAGATTTATAGGTAATGTGCAAAGATACTTCCAGAACTGACCGCTTCTCTTCTTATAAAACTTCTTTTCACCATTATCTTTCCAAAAGTTTTCTATAAGTGCTGGGTTTCCTGTTTGCTTAAGAGCTTCCAAAATGGCTTTCTGGTCATTTGTCAGTGTGCTTTCATCTCTATATGGTCTCTTTTTTGGTTTGCCTTTCTTTACATCTGACATCGTTAGCCTTCATATTCTGTTAAATCATACATCGTTATTTCAGTAAGATTCTTTATGTTTGTCAAGAAGAAGTCATAGTGCATTTCAACAATACCTGCGGCATTTGCTTCTATCTCTGATATAAAGTTCTCCTTCAAGAGCTGATGTAGTAATGTTCCAATATTATTGAGGTTAACGTAGAACATTCATACTTTCCACCAAGTTTATAACATACCATCCATCTCTGTTGTGAGTTTATTTTAATTTTCTCTAAGAGTCTCATGAAAACCTTACCGAAATGTTTGTGTAAGTAGTCTCTGTTTGGTTCATCTAAAGCTTCGATGTTAAAGTCAATGAGTCTATTGCCTGACTTCACATTTCCTTCCTATTTTCTTCATCTTTCTTTAACCATCTCTCACCTTCTTTTGGTTTGTCGTCAATGGAACTAATGACATCGTTAGCTTTGCGAACTTGTTCTATAGCACTTTTAAACATCTCTCTTCTCTGTTGTTTCAGTGTGTCGTCTCTTCTTCTTGTTTCACCAACGTTCGCATTTGTTATGTCATACATTTCTCTTCTTACTTCATGAGGTACTGAACGTCTATGATATAAGTCAATAGCAACGTCATTTAAAGGAAATGCTCTTGCATGGACTTCGTCCTCGCCGCGTTGCGGCTTTATGAACTCATGAATTCTATCATAACTTATTGCACCATTGTAGTCATTGGGGATGTCAGCGAGTGCTTTTTTGTTTGTTGCGTAATGCTTTGCAACATCTATATTAGCTTCTGTAAGAAGTTGTTTTATTTCCGAGTGTTCTAACTTAGACAACTTCCGATACATCTTTAGTAGGAAATAAAAAAATATTTTTTGAAAAAATTAGATTAGATTTTTTTAAGTTATTTTTCAAAATAATTTAATATTTTTATTTTAATGAAACACATGCAAGATTGCAAGTTCTTTTCATACAATGCTCTCACTACTGCCATCAAGAATGAGTTCAATGGTGCTGCAAACGTTAATGTTATCTTTAACAAGAAGTTTGTGAAAGAATCTAAGTTTGGTCAGTATGTCAGACCATTAGCTATCGTCATTGACCGCAAACGTTATACTTCACAAGAGTTAGCAGTAGTTTTGAAACAAAAGAGTTTCTTCGTGAATGTCAAAGATACACACTATACTGTTATAAAGAACTCTAACGTTGACTTCTTCAGTATTGCTATGAATCTTTCCGAACAGAAAGAATACAAGAAAGGTGAAACATCTGTGAAATATTATCCTTCATCTCTGAAGACAATAACGAACAAAGATGTTATACAAAAGTTCTTACCAAAGGTTGAAGAAGCTTCTATTGACATTGACGAAGGAAGTGAAATGGTTGAAGAAAATAGACCCTGACGTCATTTAAGCAAAAATATATTTTGGTTGCCTTCATATCGATATTTTACAACAATTCCCCAATGTATAAACTTTCATACGCTTTTCATAAGCTTTATAATACCTTCAGAAATTTTGCATAATCTTTAGAAGCATTTAGATATTGTTTAAATGCTTTGTATGTGTCAGAAATTTTGCATAATCTTTTACATGTTGTTCGTTTCTCTTCTTCTGTCATGAGTTCCGAATATTCTAAAATTCATGTTCTTTCATATGAGATAAAATTTTATAAAAAAAATAAAATTAGCTTAGATTTTTTTTATTCTTCCTCTTTGAAGTTATCGAAATATTCTGTTATTTTTTCCTTCAGTAATGTTAAGTCTTCTTTGAATGTAAGTATTGTACAACCTTTAATATCATAGTGTGTTTGAGGAAGAGTATTTTTGACAATTTCCTTTATTTGCTCATTCGGAGTCATTGAAATCGGTAAGTTTTCACGATAGAACCAGTTTCTGTCAGATTTATATATCTTAGCTAAGTCATAAAAGCTCTTGTTTGTTTCTTCTGACTAAAATGTAACATAACCATATCTTTATCTTCTTCATTTTCCAACTCTTCAGTATATATCATATACTTATAACTCTTTTCCTTTCCTTTTGGTACTGAACGTGGTATTCTTTTCTGTATGTTTTTGTCTTTGGATTCAATGACTTCATCTTTTGCTTGAAGTTTTCTTTTCCATCTCTCCACGTTCTGCTTTATATAGTTCATCTAACATCATGAAAATATAACAGCATAACGAGGTGAAGCCCACATGCTACGCGTTTACTAAAAGTCTATGAACATAATAACCTTTCAAACCAGGAGCCAAATTCTTGCGATTTTCGTACGGAATCTCTTCTCTCGGTTTTCCGAGGGAAGCAATCATATGAGGAAATTCTTTCTAAAAGTTCTTATGTCTGTTGGTTTTCAAACCAATGATATGATTGCTTTGTAGAACGAAGAGCATTCATTATACTCTGCATTTGGTACATATCGTCTTTGACTGAACGAATGAGACGTAACTGTTTGTTATACTGTATGTATTCATATTCTTCATTTATGGCTTCATGAACGATAGCAGTTGTTGTGTTCTCTGATGTTGACATTACTGTCTTTACATACAAAATAAAAAAATAAAAAAAAATAAAACTAACTTTATTTTTTCTATCTTAAGGAAATTCATTATTTTTGTGCTGAATTCAATAAAAATATATTTTAGGGTAGATGGTTAGATCTAACCCGATTTCTACCCTCATTTCTACCCCAGTTATTTTATAAACGTTTCGCATGGTAAACGTTATTTTTGGAATTTTGTGAAAACTCAACGGTTTGACACATGCCCTAAAAATTATTTTACTCAGAATTTTGTTGCTGAATTCAATAAAAATAATGTTTAGGGTAGATGGTTAGATCTAACCCGATATCTACCCTCATTTCTACCCCAGTTATTTTATAACCGTTTTACATGGTAAACGTTATGAATTCGTGAGACTCTAAACAGTTTTGTAGCTTCTATTTCTTCGCTGAGGATATCAAAAATTTTAACGATACCGAAAGTTTCTTTATACTTCTTCTTGACATCAGATAGAAGGAAATCGTCAGCAGTTGGATAGTTTTTGTTCAGAAATTCTAACATGTTCATTTTATTTTCTGCCGGTTTCTCTGCTTCTTTCTTTAAGTCAGCATAGTCGTTTCGCATACGTTCTATCTCTTTTACTGAATAGTTATATTTCCTAATTGCTGCTTTACATTTAGAACATTGCGGATTCATTTTTGCGTTATATTCTGAAACCTTACCTGCAAAACAACTAAGGCGTCAATGGTTTTTTAAATCTGAAGCAGTTGGTTTTATCTGTTCATGCCATACCTTACCTCTTCTATCTTTATCTCTTATCTGCCATACACATTTTGCAACTAATGAAACAAAGTTGTCGTATGTCTTAAACTCCCCCGATTTATAAATATCTGAAATGTTTTTATAAATCATGTCGCAATCTTTGTCCATAACTTTATGGTTGCAATGATATCCTAGAAACTCATAGTTTACTTTACGTATGAACTTCTTTATTTCTACTGAGTCAGTTGGTTTCACTTCTATTTCATCGAATTCATGAATAGTGAGCTTTTGTTGTTGGATTTCAGGCAATTTGGGTAAATGGTCAATAATGTCCTGCATGTCATAAAGATATTCTTCATTTTCTTCATCCTGTGCGGTACAGTCTAAATTACTTGTTAAAAGTTCCTGCTTAATTTTTTGTATTTCTGTTTCGAAAGTAAATGAAGAAGGAATGAAGCTTTTCATCTCTACTAACATAGATGTTGGATTCATGACTAATGAGTTTGGTGCTGTTGTTTGAATTGTTGTTGTGCCGATTGTTGAAATCATATCTTTTATACAAAATAAAAAAATAAATAAAAATAAAACTAACTTTATTTTTTCTATCTTAAGGAAATTCATGAAAATTCAAGACCTTTGGGTCTCGCCGCTTAGCGGTTGAGGGTAGAAATGAGGTTAGAAATCGGGTTAGATCTAACCATCTACCCTAAACATTATTTTTGGTGAATTCAATAAAAATAAATGGTTCATTTACTCACAATATTTTTGTACAAAATGACCCCAAACTTTTAACTTCTTTTCTGCAGCTTCTAATGCTATCTTAGCGAGTTCATATTCTCTAAATTCTCTCTTTAAATCTTCTTGTTCCCATTGGTCTAGTTCGTATGGAGAATCTCTATAACCATAACATATCTCACGTTCATGTTCTAATTGTTTTTCATGCATTTTTCTAACTTCTTCTTCAAACAAATGTTTTGCATTCTCTACTGTATCTTCGAGTTCTTCTTCATCTAACTTCTCATGAACTTTCTTGTCTATGGAGTCCATAATTTTTCCAACTGCTATGCAATATTTTGGAGAAGCCCACATTGCTATATAGTTTATAAGTCTTGGGTCTACATACGTTCCTCTAACCTGTTTGATTTCATCAGGAATTCCTGCATGAATTTTGTATAAAAAGCAACAGTCCGAATTCCGGCGGTTGCTATATTCTTCACAAAATGCCTTATAATACTCTTCCCAGGACTTATTTTCCAACAACTTTCTAAAGTCTTTCCTAAACTGCTGACACATATTTGTTGCATTAATGTAACCATCCTTGTCTCTACGTAAGACTTCAATACCGTTATAAGTGCCTTTTGTGAATGTTTCGCCATTAGATTTGTTCGTGAACGTCTGTGCTTCGACTGACATTTCTGTTCTTACATACAAAATAAAAAAATAAATAAAAATAAAACTAACTTTATTTTTTCTGTCTTAAGGAAATTCATGAGGGTAGAAATGAGGTTAGAAATCGGGTTAGATCTAACCATCTACCCTAAACATTATTTTTGGTGTAAATAAATGGTACCATTAATGATATCATGACTGTTCTCGTTCATGTCTGATTTACATCTAATGAAAAAGTTTAGAAATTTTCTTATTCTTTCTGGCTTATTTTTATCCTTCCAGTACTCCCGCTCTAATGGTCCCAGATGAGTTGGTTTAGATTCTCTCAAGTTCTTAGATGGTATAACATCTTCAACGCCTCCTTCATATCTTACTTTATAAGGGTCATCGTTTATGTTGTAGCCAAGTATTTCAATAACCACTCCTCGCTTTGCTTCGTCAATGGTTTCAGCAAGTTTGCCATTACTACTTTCAACTAATTTATGTCGAGGATAAAATGCAATGGAGTCGTCAGCAGCTTTTATAAGATATCCATTACCTTGCGTAGAGTCTACGATATAATAATTTCGACTTAACCTTAAACGTTTCTTTGTCAACGGTTTGTCGTCAAGAACTACACGAACTTTTGTTCCAGGAATGAGGGTAAATTGTGTTGAATTTCTGATATTTTGTGTTTGACTTCGTTTCTTTTGTATATACTTTTCTTCTTGTTGTTGTGTCATTGAATTTGGTGTATGTCCTGTTGTAGAATGTGTTGAGGAATTATATACTTCGAGAAAATGTTTCATTGTTTCTTCGGTAAAGTCTCGCTCTTGATTTAAATCTCTGAGAGTCCTTATGAAGCGGTTTATGATGCCGAGTATGTTATGGTTATGGTCTTCAGTAGTGTAGTGAGTTATGTTATGCTTAATGAGAAATTCTGTGATTTCATTGCTGAGGTATGCTGAATCCTGGTCTGATGTTAAAGTACTTGGGCTATGTTCTGCTACAAACTTTTGTAAAACTCTTAACACTTCACGAGTTCCTTTATTTTTCATTGGATATGCATATGCTTTACGAGTGTTAACATTAATGAAGATGAGGAATGGTTTATGTCCTCCTTTTCTGCGTTGAATGAGAGTGTCAAATTGGTATGCGTCAGGAGCGTTGGAGTAAATTGGTAAAAAGTAGTCGTAAGGGTTTATTTTTGTTTGATGTACAACATTTTTGTCAAAGAACCTTTTCACTTCAGCTCTGTTAGTAAATCCCCAACTCTTTGCAGCTTCATTGAACTTCTTAAATGACCTCCATGGATGTTGTTCGAATACTTCTTTTAAACTCATTTATGTAAAAATAAATTTAGTAATTTCATGCTGTTCGCTCTTTTGGAGCTCAGGACTTTCAGGCTGTTCTAACACATGCATAAACTGTAATATACGGTGGCATATAATCTTCACCCGAACCTGTTGGATTTGTTGTAAATGTATGTGTATGATTTCCTCCTGGTTCAGTTGGTCGAAAAGTCTTTTTTGCTGAATTGTTATAAGATGGAGATAAAACATTTTGAAGCGTATAGATGATATAAGAAAGAAGTTAGATAGACCGCAAAGCGGTGAGGGCGAAGCCCGTGAGAACGTTTATGTTTCATTGACTTTCTCCAGTAACGAGAATTTTTATGAGATAATATTGAAGAGAGATGATTTTAATATGGTGTAAATGGTAGCTTGGACAGCTTTAGGCGCAATGGGAACAAAAGCATTAGCATTTGGAGCAAAAGCACTTGGATCTTATGACGCAGTAAATAAAATGAGTGGAGGTAGGGTTTCGAAGACATTAGATGCAAATAAAGGGAAGATTGGAGGCTGGGTTGCAAAGAAGTTAAGATTAAATAAAATAGGGCTCATAAATAAAGCATCCAATTTAGTTGCGACTGAGTCAGAAAATGCTTTAGGAAAGGACGATGAGTTTGCAAAACACGCAAAAGACTTTAATGACCAGATGAAAGGTGAAACAATGCATTTAAATATAGGGTGTCCAAAGGTGCGTTTAGCACAGCGCTCTATATGAGACTATTAAAGGAGATATATGCTGATTATAAATATATAATAAAAAATATGAATATATGTATATGATGAGTAAGTTGTATTTTGGCGCCATGCCTGGATATAAAATGAATTTTGAGACAAGAGGCGGTTTCGCGGGAAATTTTGGCGGGATTTTTTTTCATTTTTTTAATGAATCATAAAGAAAACATCCTCGCTCTTGCAAAAAAATGCAAAGACTGTAAAAAAATCTACGAGACATTGGTAAAATGCTTCGGTATGGATGCTTCTAGCTATTCCACTGTAACGTATCATGTTAGGATGTATCACTTCATGAACAAAAAGGCGCCCATCATAAAAATTGACAAAAAATCGCCGGATCAAAGAAAAATCAAAGCAATTCTTCAAGCGCTAGATGAAGACCCAAGAGATCACTCAGAAGGATAGAGGAGATGACAAAGATACCACGTACAACAGTCAGTTATTATCTGCACAATTATTTGAACTACAAACTAGCGTATACACGTTGGGTTCCGCACAACCTTAATTCAGTTCAAAAAAAATCTAGAGTCCAATCTTCGAAAGAGCTCCTCTCTATATTGGGTGCGTATCAATCCAAGAAGTTTCGCTTTTTAGTAACAGGGGACGAGTCTTGGTTTCAATATGCAACAGAAGCCAAAATCATGTGGACCCCGAAGGATGAAAATCCGCAAACATTCCCGAAGAAAAAAATTGACACACCAATGATGATGTTGTCGGTTTTTTGGGGCGTGAATGGCATCATCGCAATTGATATTCTTCATAAACCTAATACGATGAATGCTCAGTATCTAATTGACAATGTTCTTACTCAAATTATCAATTCTGATGAGTTTGAGAAATCCAAACAACAAAAACAAAAGTTTGCAATTCATTTTGATAATTCAAGAGTTCACAAAAGTCATAAGGTAATGAATTACTTGGTGGAAAACAATGTCAAAGTTGTTCCAAACCCAATTTATTCACCTGATATTGCACCCTCTGACTTTTATTTATTCGGCACGCTAAAAAAGAGAGCTGAAGGACGCAAATTCGCGAGTCCAGATGATCTTGAAAATTTTGTAAGAGAGCAATTTGAGCAATTTTCTCATGATGATTTAAAGCGTGTCTTTCAAGCCTGGATCGATCGCTGCGAACGCGTGATTGAATCCAATGGTGATTATATTTAAATAAACTTTATATATATGTAACTTGTTTATTTCTATTCGCAGTATTCAAGTTTGTGCTAAACACACCTTTGGACACCCTATAGATTCGATGGAACTAAAGAAAATGTTTCTTCTCCACCAGTAGTTCTTCCGTATGGTCCCTATGGAATGTATGGAAACCCTTACGAAAGACCATTTGACCCATTGACTGGTGGAAGTAACTGGTATCATTACGGCCGAAGAAGAAAGACAGTCAAGTTGGAGACAGACGTGAAGAAAGCAACTAAAAAGAAACCAAGGAAGAGAGTTATAAAGCAATGAATTCAACAGGGTAGAAAAGAGGTTAGAAATCGGGTTAGATCTAACCTTCTACCCTAAATTTATTTTTGGTGTAAATTCACAAAGTTAGTTATCGGGTTAGAAATCGGGTTAGATCTAACCTTCTACCCTAAATTTATTTTTGTGCTATGTTTTCATACGTGTGAGGGTGGTGATATCATTTATTTTTTAAAATTATTTTTTATTTTATTTTTATATAAATGACGAAAACTATTGAGATAACAAACTACAACGGTCATGAGTTCAAGAATTTGTTCTTCGTTCCTCGTGAAAATACATTCTATCAGATACGAGGGAGAAAGGGTAAAGTTAGTTTGAGCGTTTATGACTACAAGCATAATGGAAAGTTTATACAAGCAATAGATACAAACGGTAAGCGTGTTTCATTATCTTTGTCAAAACTTACTAACATTTATTTTGACAGTGATTTTGACCTATATGAAGAAGAAAGTGAGTCAGAAGATTATGAGCTGTTATGTGAAGCACAGCAATGGGAGGAGTTGCAATACTTTTGTAAGTGAGAATGTTTATTTTTTATATTAGTGAGGTGAAGTGGTTGGTGGCTTTGTAAATATTTAAGGTTAAGTTAGTGTTGTCGTTTGTGTTGTAAAATATAAGTTAACGGTTTTGTAAAGTGTCAAATTCACATATAATGGGTACGGTGGAACGCAGTGCCTCCGTACCCTTGATATGTATACTAACTATCGGATACAACCACGATATTACAAGACATCCACAAAGGATCTGGAATGATCTCAGTAATGGTTCAAGAGTATTCCTACCAAATCCACACCAGTATGAAATAATCCTACAGACAGTAATTACTCCATACGAAGGATTCAATCACATAGTACCAAGAGATTAAAAAACTTTTTTAAGAATAAATATTTAACGTTTAATTAAATCATTCTTTTTTTCATTGACTGACGGACTGACTGACTGACCTTATTGATTATTCTTTTCCTGCTCAATTATGATTCTTCGTTCGAACTCTCTTATGTTATCCATGATTTGTCCCTTCGTCATTTTCAGTTCTCTTTGATTTTCATACCATGTCTTCAGGAAGAAAAACAATGCTAGACTCATTTCCTCTTGGAAAAGATCTTCACCATTATAGATTCTTTCATGAATTGTCATTGCTTCATCAACATAAATTTGTCCATCATTTTCAAAGATAGTTCCAAAAAACTTTGCGAACTTAAAGGTCATTTTTATCTTTTGACACTTTTTTATCTTTTGACTTTTGACATTCATTTTTTTTAAATGCACTATCAAGTGTTTGACGCACAAGAAACCTTTAAAGGTGAAGTACCAAAGGAGTTCTATGAAGGAAAACTACCACAAAAGTTTAAAGATTATCTTGAAATACTTGAAACAATCAAAGGTGTTATTTCAGTTGATGATGCATTACACACATTTGCAGCCATTTATCCTCTTGGGGAACCAGCTCAAGATTCTTATCATCTTGTTCTTTCAATGTTTCTCAAACAATGGTTCGAAAAATATACAGAATTAAAGATGGACATAAATGCATTTAAAATGCATTATGCTAATTATTATCAAGTACTTGATGAACGTTTTCCTTTTAAAAAATAATCTCCAGAATAAATAAACTAATTTTTTTACTAAAATTCATATTTAATGTCAAAAGTCAAAATATATATAATTGAATTATATGATTCTAAATGCACATATATTTTCAGTAATTTCAGGCATTGTTATAAAGAAATTAAAAAAAGAAATTATTTTTAAATCTAGTTGAAAATTTCAAAAAGTGACATTTTTTAATTTGTAAGAAATGAATGAATCAAAACCTATTACTTTTGTATTCGAAGTAGAAACGGGGTATCCATTACGTGCAAAATATTATTATGATTCTTATACTGAATTTTGTAAAAAATATAATTATAATCCAGATTCTAAAGAAAAATTCATACAAAATATGAAACCTCATTTTGATGATTGGAATAAAAAATACTTAAAGAAAGCCAGTGAATTAGAAGAAATAGAAAATGATAGTTCATCTGATGAATTTTTCATTTATGAAGATGGTGTTTATAGATTAAATGAAAAGGCTGTATATAATGATTATATACACAGAGAAAAATTTTATAAAAAACTTTTAGAAGGTTTAGAGAGAGATGGATGGACAAAACATAATTAAATAAAAGTGGAATATCAATTACTACTATTCCATTATTTACTTTCAACGGCGAATCATCATCTTTCATTAATATTTTTTTTTCTTTTGACTTTTGACATTTTTTAAATCTTCTTAAATAATGAATGATAAACAAATTATAGCAGGAGGTAAGAAATTATTTCAAGAGTTTTATAACATTCCAGATGGTGTTAATCCTCAAACAAGAAGGAAATATTTAACAGATGCAATCGATTCTTACGAAGGTTTTAATCTTGATTTTTTTATTTTCGTGATTTTTTTGAAACTTACATAAGCGATGAAATACTTTTTTAAGTAATCGTTTATTATATATAAATATATCTTAATAAATTTAATTCCTTAAGGTAGAGCGTGTTCAAATTTAAAATCTCATACAATATTTTCTTAATGGCGTATTTTTCTGAGGTCGCTCAAATAAAGGCGAATTCAAAATTGAGAACTCCAAGGCGTATGGCGAGTATTCAAAAAGTACGCCACTTACAAAATATTGAATGTGGATTATCAATTTTTTGGCGTGTTCAATTTCAAATTTTGATATTTATGTTTATTTTATTCAGTATAATGCTAAGAATTAAAATATAAAATTCATAGAATTTTTTCTTTGAAAATATTTTACATTTTTATTAGACCACTCCTAGACTAGTCATCAGGTTATCCTCAGATCATCCTCAGACTACTCCTTATCAGATTACTCATCATCCTCAGACTACTCCTTAGACCCCTCCTCATCAGACTACTCCTCAGATTATCCTCAAACTCCTCCTCAGATTATCCTCAGACTCCTCCTCAGATTATCCTCAAACTCCTCAGACTACTCCTCAAACTCCTCAGATTATCATCAAACTCCTCAAACTACTCCTCGGTCTAATCCTCAGACTCCTCCTCAGATTATCCTCAGATTATCACTTTACATATATATATCGATAACTAAATAATTACTTATTATACTTTCTTTATTTTTTTTTAATTTTAAAATAATATTAATATATCTTTCTACGTTTAATGATGAAAACGGTCATGGCGTAAAACCGTCGCATCCCTAGATAAAGGAACTAAACCAGGTTGAAGTGGAACATTGGTAAATGGATTATAATCCATTCTAAATGCAGGATCTTTACCAAAAAGTTCTTTCTTTTCAGTAATATAATATGATGCCTTTTGCGGAGTTGGAAGTGCTGCCTGTGTTTGCTTAGTAATATCAAATGTTGGATGTTTTAAATATTGTTTCACTTTTCCAGCTCCTTCTTTTCTCACAGCCGGTGTATAACTTTCATTAAAATTATATCCCTTTAATATTGTTTCATCGTCTATCATTCTATTTGTTTTAAATTAATAAAAAAATAAATATAATATATTTTTTAATAAATAAACTTTGTTATACCTTTTATACAGTCATGTATAATTTTACCATGATTACTTAATTGAGTGTATTTATACCATAATTCTTCTTTTGGTATTTGCATATTTATTTGATTTCGAATAACATTAAATTGTTGAGCAGAGAACCCAGAAAAGATAAAGACAGTTGAGAGGTTAGATTTAATATTCGTTGATAAACCTCGTAAATATTGAACAGCTAAGAAAATTGAACATTGTATATGTCTACATTGTGTTAGTAGAGATGTGAAAACTTAAATTTTATAATCCCTGGGATGCACTTTCTTCGATTTTTTTTAAATTTTTGGGATAAATTTTGACATCTTTTTTTTGCTGGCGACCCCCCCCCCCCGTTTAGGGCATCAAAAAAACATGTTGTTTCGTTTCAAGATCGGGATATGTTGTGAACCCGACTTCTTTCATTAATGAAGTGATTTCTTAAGTTGAATAAAAACAAATTTGATTGAAATTCATACAAAATTTCTTTTTATCATTATTATTTAAGATGCTTTTTTATGTTGAATTGTTAATTTTTTTATTTCCACCTGGGATATTTTGAATTGGGCTAGTCCAATCCCACCTCTCAATTTTCTCTCAATTGGGCAATGGGGATCCCATATAAAATGTATTGTAACAAAATTTTACATGCATAATATAGTACAATTAAACAACATTCTAAAAATATTAAATTCACATCATTTACTTGAAGATTTTATATTTTCAACAAAAATTAATACAATAATTACATTAAATTGAGGAGATTTATAATATTTATTATAAATTAAAATATTATTACTCATTAATTTGTTGAAATATTGCATTTTAGTGGTAAAAATTAAAATTTAAGTTTACATGGAGAAAAAAAAAATTTAAATTCCAAAAAAAAATTCAATTGGGATAACGATAGGGACAAAAATTTAGAATCCCCATATGCTTGGGATAAAATCACATGACTAGTGTTAGCCATTGATTAAAATCAGAATCTTTCTTTTCAATTAATTTAGATTTTACGGCATCATCTAAGAAAATTAATGTATGACAAAACTTTTTAGAAAAATCATTAATAAATAAATTTTCAAACATTTCATTCTTTTGATTATCATCTATTTTATCATCATAATGATTTTCTTTAATCGAATTATATAATTGTTTGAATAATAATAATTGATGAATATATTCTTCAGCATCTTCATGACTACGATATATTATGGGACATTTAATTAATTTCTTTATTGATTCAAATGTTGAATCTGTTGGCTCTCCAGTTTTATTAATATAAACTAACAAATGACAAAAAGGATCATTTTGTGATATTTTAATAATTTCTTTTAAAACAGATAATGTTTTTCCTTTGTTTTGTTGTCCTATTGCTGCTGTTATTGAATTATAATAACATTCAGAATTTGGTATTTTTTGTAATAATTCTCTTTCTAAATTTCCTTTATTTTCATTTAAAGCATCTTGAATTTGTTTATCAATATATTCATCATAATTCACAGGTTCTTGTGTTTCTTCTTCCTCTTCTTCAAATGATAAAATTTCTTCTTCCTCTTCAAACATTTTTATTTTTAATTTTTTAAAAATGCGAAAATTCTGGGTTAAAAGAAGAATTCAAACTACTTCAAAAAATGTAGAACCTGTGAAAAGAGAAAGTGTAGAAATTAATATTCTTATCAAAGGATATCACCAAAAATTTTATTAGAAGATTGTTCTATTTCTGATACACCGAAGGAAATATTGATATTACAGCATAGAGGAACAGTATGGAATAGGGTTTGTGCTTATAATTGTGTAGAAAATTCTGTAAATAATCAGCTTCTGGAAACGCAAGCTCCAGAATCATCTGAAATTCGGCAAACAATAAAAGAATCTTCAATGAATAACTGCGGAAATTCAACTTATCGATTAATAGCAATATCTGGAGGGAAAATCTTGGTTGATAATGTAAATATTTCACATTGCAGAGGAAAAGTTTATGCTACATTAGATTTGAATAACTGTAAAAACCTTGTTATACAATATACAACAATTAGCAATAATTTTGCATGGGAGTCATCCATTGTAGGATTCAAAAATATAGCATGCAGATGTATGAAATGTAACTACATTGGAAACAATTCTACTACTAACAGCATTAATTTTCCGTTATTCGGCAGAAAATGTGTCAATATTTGAATTTTTTCAGAAATATAAATAATTGAATAGTACGATTAAAAATTCATGTCGATTCTGATGATTATTTTTTCGATTTTTTCGAGGTTAATTTATGTTACTCTCTTTGATATTAATTTCAATCAAAAATTTTCTGAGATCCTCTTTACTTCCTCAAAAAAAAATGATTTCATGGCTTTTCTCTCGCAGATTTTTAATCGAGGTAGACTCTAGTTTGCTAGATTTGGATCTGTCTTTATTCAATTTCAAGTCATTTCGAAGAAAAATGCTGAACAACTCTCCTGAAACCAAGAATCATCAAAATAGTAAATTATTTTCATCTCCATGCTTCATCAACTATACAGAAAAGTACAATATCTATATGTCAAACAATTTATCTTTACCAAACAATCAAATTTCATTAATTGGCCAAGTAAATTCAAAATTTATCTCAAACTATATGAATAACGGATTTGAAATCTTAAGCAACAACTTACCATTAGCCAGATATGTTATTACAAAGCAAGATTTTCAAAACGATAATTATAAATTTCAAAATGTCACAATTTTTGAGACAAAAATTGCAATTAACGCAAATAGCTATGCAGTATGTCATGAAAAGGCTATAGTTGAGGGTATAAGATATATCAAACATTTATTAATCCCTGTTTTATCGATAATAATGATTTCTGCCTGGATTGCCAAGAAAATTCCATTAAAATATATCTACAGTGGTACCAACGAGTTTACCATCTTCTATATTTGTAAGTATTGCCGTCTTTTGACACCATTTTCAAATAATATTCCAAATCAAGTTAAAAACGCGCTTGAAAAGTACTTAATTGAATTCAATGGAGATGTGACTTTCCATGAAATCTACTTAAATCGAAATACAGAGTCATATAAAGTAATTATCAAAAAAATGCCACATGGAATTATACAATGTTCGCTTCTTCACATGAATTATGAATTTGGAGACACAGATTTCCAATCCACAGAAGGAGGAAGTGTTTGTAGCGTTGATGGAGACGATTTAAGATATCCAATCGAAGCAAAGATCCAATGCAAAGCTGGCAAGCCACCATCCATCATTTACCATGTATCTGTAGACAACCAGCCAACAGAAGTTCAAATTATGTCTAATTTTGTGAATGATATTCCAATTGGTCGCCAATCGAACGAAATCTCCAACTTATTGAGTATCCACAAGACCCTGCTATTGGATGGTTTATCTAGTTCGCCTAGTATCTCCACTTTTATTTCATTTTTAAATATGGTCGCAAAAAAACTTGGTTTATCCAGTTTATCTCTTTTTATTTGTGAAGAAGAAGAACACGCGACCATTTACAGCCAATGCGAAGACGATGAAATCAAACCTTACATTGAAAAATTTTCCCAAGAATTTTTCAAAAACAAGCATAGAAAAGGGGAAATCTTCAAGTACGACATTGGAAACTATAGGCTTGGTGTACATTCTTTAATAATACAGAATTGTAGGTACATGGTCATTCTTGCTTTGAAATCTTCGACTTATATTTTAAGAAATGTTGAATATTTCATACACGCGATCTTTTCTATACTCATAACTCACAACCACAAGAAACTCAGTAGGTTTGTATCACATAGAACTATCGGAAAATCAGCAAATCTTTGGAATTCAGACATTGCATGCGCAGAATACGTAAACAACCAATACTCATGGTCAATAGGATCACTATACAACAAGAAGGCTACAAAGGAAGTGATGGATGAGGTTTATTTCAGAGTTCAATCAGCTTTTGAACTAAAACTCAACAAAATGATCAATTTCATCGTTCCCATGTGGCAAACACCAAGTTCTCGTTCTATATTAGAGGTATACGCAATCTCTACAATCTGCAAAATGCGAGAAATTCCAGTTTTGACATTTATTGTTCGAGATGTTACAGAATTGTTCGGAAAAGGACTTTACGATGACCACTTCTTAACATCATCCTTGTTAGGAGCAGTAATGTTCGGTCTCCAACGAGTTAAAGGACAAAATTTAGAATTAGAAGTTCGACCAACCGCTGAACGGTTTTTAGGCGAAATTCCACCGATATCGTTCTCTACATTGACATGGATTGCCGATAGCAAACTTTTGACAAAATTTTCCACAGAAGAAAAAAAATCTTTAAATTTGATCAAAAAATCAGGCGAAATGATTGCCGCGGCCACTGTTCCATTATCAGGAACCGATGACTTCATGTTCTATCCTCTTCCAGAGCTTTCTTCTGCTTTATCTAATGTCATGATATCAAATGGCCGGATAGATGATTCGAAAAACGATGTACGTGTTAGTTTCTTTGATCTACTGATGGATACATGTCTAGATATCCGCGGACAATTGAAAAAAAGGAAAATTTCGGAACTTGATATTCCAGAATTATCCGAATGTCCACGTATTAAGCAGCATATACAACTATTAGCGGGTTGTCTATACTACAATGATATCGATCAGTTCTATTCTTGCGTACAAGACAGTTTTAAGTACGGAAAATCCTCATGTCTTATTCATTTACACGAAAAAGCGGTTATACGACCATTCTTGGTCAATTCACAACATAAAAACGATATTCTTACGATTGTCATGATGTCTCTTGAAGAAGAGAATTATATTGTCAACCACGGCTCAGTAGTTCTATGTGCAATGGACGCTCAACCAACTACTCATCATATCTTCCCATGGAGATTCCAGTTCATTGAGACAGCAGACTGCATTTACAGTACAACTCCTGGTGGAGCTTATCCGACCATGTTTTCAAAGAGTTCTATGGTTCACATGGTCATTCCGGACCAAAGAAGACACTTAGTGGCCCAACTAGAGTCAGGAAACGTGAACTTACTAATTTTGATCAAATACGACAGAGCGAGATGGTACATTCTGAAGGGAACAAGAGTTGGTGATGAAATACACGGAATGAACGTGTTGGCACCTTATGGTTCCGTCCCGTATTTGTTAAGACCTGAAAAAGTGACAAAATTAGCAAATACTCTGTTGAAGAGTTTCAAGAAACTGTCTGAAAAGATTGAAGTGGACTTGTCATCACTGAATGAGACAGTCAACAACTTGAAGGACGTAGAAATCGATTTCTCATCATTTTATTAAATAAGTTTTTTGATTTTTTTTATTTTTATTTATAAGAATTTAAACTATCTATGCCTTATAAAACTAGAGAGTGTTTGAGAGGTTAAATTCATATCTTTGTTATGAGTTTTTTACATTCAATTTGCGCATTATTTGTGCGTTTAAAAATCTATCCGCGTAAAGTAGTCAAAAGATGTAAGCATTTTTTCTTTAATATATTTTGCATATGCAATTATGGCTATACTTTATTAATGGTTTTGATTATTTATAATAGTCAACTCCATATTTTTTCAAATGCGCAAAATATGCGCAGATTCAATTTTAAATAATCGCTTTTGCGCATTTTTTGCACCCCATGTAAAACCCAGTTTTTTTTTGAATAGAGTTAGCGAAGTAAGTTGTAAACAACGAATATAGCTGTAAACAACTTTATTACAACAAGAAAGACCCACACATTAATGAGGAGATATGAAATATATCCTGTAAAGAATTAGTAGCGTTTACAACTTATTTCGGTGTTTACAGCTTAATTCGCAAACTCTAATTTATTTGTGGGATTATAAAGTATCTGTGAGAAAGTGGTAAGCACAGCCTTAAGAGAGTATGATATGGTGCTTCACACTAGTTGTTAGAAAATTGAGTTAACATTAATTAGGATTATTTGTACATAGTCATTTTTCATAATGTCAACACGGTGGAAAATAAACACATAAACAGCTCTCACCATATAACGTTGGATAATTTGATATGCACCTTAAATAAGAACTGAAAATAGAAGTGATTAAATGAAAATTGAGATATTTTTTTGGATGCATGGATAATGTATCTTTGGATTTTCCATTATATTTTAATTTAATGGTATATTCTCATTATATGAATGCTTGGAGAATTCTCATAATAAGAACTCAAAATATTATATTGTATAAATGTTATCCTTATCATTTCTGTCTTTTAATATAGTCAACTATATTATGATAGGAATATCGAGATGATTACTCACATCTTATCATCTTATTGCATTGACTCAAGCATAAAATATTTATTAAATATATATATAAGTATTTTTATGTTTAGTTAGGAGAGACAATGAATTTAGTTAAAATGTGAGAACAATCTAAATAATTAGATAGTCCATATATATTGAAGCGTGTAGGAATATCATTGTATACTCCATTGTTCAATTCATTATTATGAACATTTAAATAATCACTGAATGTGAAATTTGCATGACATAACCCAGTAGATATATGTGATAAATTGTTGTAATGACCTTTTTTAGTACTTTTTATAGTGGCACTTACAGATTGTCCATCATAATCACTCTGGATAATTGTAACAGAACAAGAAGATGAACTTAGGTCAAATGTTTGAGAACATTGATTGTTAATAAATGAACAGCTTTCTATTATAATTTGTGCTGAATTAATTATTCGAAAGCAATTATATGAAACTGTATTTCTAACTATATTGCATTGGTAAAAATTATAAGGGCCTGATGCTCCGATATAAAAAATTTTATTAACTGCGCTATTATCTTTAAATGTAGATCGACTAAGGTTGCAATTCTGATAAGAATCAATTTCTATTCCAACATCATCGGTGCATTTGTTGTTTGTAAGATTATTTCGAGAATAACTGATATTTCCAAATGAAAATCTATGAATTGAACTACCTTTGTTTAGTTCGCCACAATTAAAGATTGAAGAATCATGGAGAAAACTTTTCGTGACTGAATCAGATGATGATACACTTGTATACAAAAATACTCCTTCCGAAGATGATGATGTCTGAATAGATTGTGTTGTGCATGTACGATAAATTACACAGTTTGAATAGTAAATATAAATTGTTTGAGATGGAGTTACTGTGCCATTGAACCCAGAGATCGAAACAAGAAGTTTAATATTTGAACCGCTCATTGATATAACAACATTTTTGATTTCATTAAATGAGCATGTTGTCACATAATAGTTTCCTTGTGAACTTCGACTGAATTCCACGTTTGCAGTATGTTTTTCAGTAATTTCATCATTTCCATGGGAATCCTTGGCCCTTCGGGAACCAGAGGATGGCAGTATGAGCCCATGCGGATAATAACGTATAACTCATATCCATAGGAGCGCAATATCTACGCAGCCTGGCTACTATATCCTAGCAGCAAGGCTGTATAGATATTGCACTCCTGGCTTGCAGAACTCTCATGGAAGACCAAGTGGAGATCTGATGCCGAAATCACTTGCTGATGTGGATGGAACAGCACTATGATTGGCCAGATCAAAGGCTGTGTAACATCCCAGCAAGTGGATAATCGGCATTGACTCCAGCTGCGGTCTTCAATGAGAAAATGACACTTTTGGACTTGGCGCTATTTTTTCAATAGAAAATTTTTGATTTTGGCGGGCAATGTAATTTTACTAATTAGAAGATAGAATATGCATTACAAATACTTATATATTATGAATATCAAATTAAAATAGGAAAATTCATAGGTTTTTGCATTTTGTCCACAAAAGTGAGACAACCTATAAAAAAATATTTTGGCAGATTTGTCATTTGACACATCTTCATAATCTAAAATGTTCCTCTTCTTAACATGTCTTTCAGTTGAATGGGAAGTTGATAGATTGAGACACTGGCATGAGCTTAATGCACCAAGAGGTGGCGGAATGCCAAGATACAATCCAAGACCAATTGCTCCAAGACCAGCAATGCCAGCATACAAGCCACCTCCAATGTCAGCTCCAAGACCAGCTCCAAGAACAGCTCCAGCTCCAAGACCTATTGGAAGGGGTGGAATGCCATCATACAGACCCTCAATGCCATCATACAGACGATCTTCACAGCCAATCTTAGCTCCATCAAGAGGAACTACTTTCCCATCCATTGGCCATCATCCAAGTACAAAACTCCCCGTATTTGATGTTTCTCACATTACACCATCTGGCAGATCATTTTCCTTCGGATACACAGGTCAGGGAAGTCGTGGCCAAGCATCAATTGGATATGGCGGAAAGTTTGGTTCCTTAAGAGGCTCATATGACACATTAACACGCGGTAGAACATTCGGTGGCGATATCAAGCTTGGCCGCACAACAATTGGTGCCGATGTCTCAAGAGTTCCAGGTCTTGGAAAAATCTTCGGTGGCTCAATTTCGCGTGGTGGCACAACAATCACAGGTTCTTATGGAAAGAAGGTTGGAACAACAATTGGCGCTTCCCAGAGACTCAGTTAGTATACAAGTCTTGTGTACTGTGGCACTGCGTTCCTCCATACACAATACTTGTGAATTTGACACTTTACAAAACCGTTAACGTATATTTTACAACACAAACACAAACACCAACTTAACCTTAAATATTTATAAAGCCGCCAACCACTTCACCTCACTAACGACTTCACTAACGAATTCACTAATGTTTTCACTAACGAACTCACTACTGTAAAAATAAACGTTCTCACTTACAAAAGTATTGCAACTCTTCCCATTGCTTTGCTTCACACAACAGTTCATATTCTTCAGTATCGCTGCTGTCACTCCAATCGTCAGAGTCAAAGTCACTGTCAAAATAAATGTTAGTAAGTTTTGACAAAGCTAATGAAACACGTTTACCGTTTGTATCGTATGCTTGTATAAACTTTCCATTCTTCATTCCTTCATAAACGCTCAAACTAACTTTACCCTTTCTCCCTCGTATCTGATAGAATGTATTTTCACGAGGAACGAAGAACAAATTCTTGAACTCATGACCGTTGTAGTTTGTTATCTCAATAGTTTTCGTCATTTACATAAAAATAAACGTTCTCGCTAAATAATAAAATAAACTTAAAAATTAATGATATCACCACCCTCACACGTATGAAAACATAGCACAAAAATAAATTTAGGTGAAGTGGTGAGATGTCACCTCTTTTTTCACCTCTTTTTTCACCCGTTGAATTCATTGCTTTATAACTCTCTTCCTTTCTCCAACTCTTCTAACTTCTTCCTAAGTTCAGCAATGTTGTCCTCATGAAGTTTAATCTTCCTTAATATACCTTCTCTATCTAATGGTTGCTTTATCTTTCTAAACTGAACTCTACCATCCTTCATAGTATGAACGTAAAAACCTCCTGGAACCGCTCCTGATTTAATGTATTCTACCAAAAATTTTTGTTTCATTGCTTCAGTGACTTTAGTCGTCATTTTACTCTAAATAAAATGTTCAAATAAAATAAAAATAACGTTATTTTTCAGTAAGGAAACGCAGGAGTTTTACGATTTATTTGAGGAGTAGGTTCTGGTTTAAATGTTGGAGTCGGTTTTGGAGTTGACTTTTGAACAGGAGTTTGTACTTTCATAGGTTCAGGAGTCATTGAAGGTGTTGTTTGTGAAGGCGTTGGTTTTGGCGAAGGTGTTGGAGTTTGTTTAACTTCAGCTATTTCAGTATTATTTATAACATTTGCTTTATTTCTTTTCAACATCATAACTGCTCCTGCTGTAGCTAGCAAACCTAGTGGGAGACCATATTTTATATAAGGACTTGACCAAATGCTATTTTTGACAGGAGCTGGTGGAACACCTAACCTTGGTGAAACTGCTCTTTGCCATTGTGCAGCTCGTAAGAAATATTCAATAGGTGCTCCATAATCGTTTGGTAAAGTTTGTTTCATAGATGGTGAAGGTTCGCGAGAGCTTGATGAAGAACTCATTTATAAGATTTAAAAATAAATGTTCATCCTTTATTCCTCACTGTCGTCCGTAGCTAAGTTATAGTCATCTAATCTTATTATTGGGATTCCATTAGCACGCACCTGAATGGCAAAGCAACAATCCCTCATAAATCCAATAAGTGGCTTTGGTACGTTTTCAGTTGCTAGTTCAATAGGTCCTTTAACAGACAATTTGTATGTTATTGGAGCAGTAGATGTTTGACCTTGCTGGAAGCAAAAGTCCACTTCTGTTGGAAAACCACATAAGAAATGTGTGTTGTCATAGCTATCCCATTTATGTTCCACACTACCATCATCCACCAATGACCTC